AGTAGACACTAAATTAACCAATCAGAGCGTGCGCTTTGCTTTAGTTATGTTATAACATGTACCCATACAGCTTTAGGTAGGATTAATATTTCCATAGCAACCACATTTTGATATACATGTAACATGTTTAAAACTTTTAATAATGTAATGTGTTCAGAGATGCTCACAGGGCTTTGCATTTCCACAGGAAACCCATGTTGACACGTATATAAAAGTCTACCCAGTAAGGGATTTTGTGTTACTTTTTAAAGTTTTCATGACATTTTCTGGTAATCTTTCCAGACCAAATGATTGAATGTATGCATTATGATTCAATCACATGATAAAGCAGAAGCCCAACCCATAATATTTAACAGCTATCCTTTTCACCCATTTCTACTTGAGGAGAAATAAATGAATCAGTTCTGTTGAAATGTTCCCTTGTCTCTTTACAACATCAATTTTGACCAGTCTTGGGATAGAATTCCCCGATCCTCAATAATTTTTTCCCCTACCCAATTTCTTGACAACCAGCAACCCTGTGTTATTAATACATGTAATTGAAATCTTAGTGAGTGGTAGAGGATATTGAACTTGCACCTCAGTAAATAACATTGGATAGTCACTTAGTTTTACTCTGTTAAAATTTATTGTTATAAATACTGAGCACAAATTAGTATGAACAACCAAATAAAAAGGTTTTGTATAACCCATTGCAAAAACGTGAGAGGACTGGGACAAGTTTCTTATATTGACTAGATTGAAAATCTAAACATTTCAACTGAAATGTTACTGAATGAAAAGCTACCCAGTCAAGTTTGAGAGTTTTCAGCAGAAAATTGTCCAAATGGGAGCCTTGCAAAAATGACAAAATTCCATACAAACCCTTACAATTTTGTGACCTGTCTACCCAATCCATACAAACTCTCTATTTTAGGTGTTAATTCAAGAGCTATCATTTTGCCATTTTCCTCGTCTAAATACTTCTATTCTTATTCTATTCTCTCTACTCTTTTCCAGTCCTCTCGCGTTTTTGCAATGGGCTATTAGAAGGCAGGATAACAGATGTGGCAAGCAAATAAAGGTCACACATATATTTGTTATTAGTCAGTATTACTAAACTCCCTGTATGAACTTCATGTAGGCCTCAATAAAATTAACAAAGGTTCATAAAATTTTTGCAACATTTTGATGGGTCCAGGGAACTGACACAAACCTTTACAAAAGCCGGATCAACCTTCCTACATTTTGCAATGTCTTTTCGTGCCTCTAAAATTCTCGTCATTCTGTAGTTTGTCTCTGCCCTCAAAGCATACAGGGTGGACAGCAGAGTAGTATTCTTCATAGGACAGAACAACAGAGAATAAGTCAGACACTGAGTGGCTACAGCAAAGTTCTCTTCATCCTTGGCTTCATATCCTCTCCTCAACCATTTTTCTGGTTCATCCTGTTT